GCATGAGGGCAAAAAGAAAAAAGGAAGTATCAGAAGGCATTCCACCACTTTGTCTGCAGCTCAAGCATTTGCAAAGACAAAGGTTTGCATTCTGGGGTTCTCCTGGATTCTTTACCATTCCCTTTACAATCCTCAAACTACCTTCAGGTGTAACCCTATGCACTGAAAATATCAGTGCAGACTTCTGCCAGCTCTCTAACACTATCTGGCATATGGTGGACAGACAGTGAACACACGGGTGTTAAGAAGGCCAGCATGCTGTGCCAAAATTTCTCTTGCCAAAGATTTGAAACGCTGCTGTTCCAAAGCATTATGTAAATCTCCACATTACTACAAGCACTACCTGATCCTTGAATGGGGCAAGGCACTGTGGAGTTGCCAGTGGGCTATGGTACAGTTAAACCAAACTGATTTGCCTCAGAGAAGCCATTCCTGAATTATACTGTCCCTGAGGTTACCTGCTTACTGCTCCAGAGTTGGGAGATTAAGGGAACCTTCAGTTGTTCTGGTCCAGGAGGACAAGGGAAGGAACGCATACAAATTGCTCCACCTGCTAGCTTTTGGGAAGCATCTGGGGAGGCACAGACTTGCAAAGGCAAAATGGAGCCATGAGTACATTGGAACTCTGTTTGTCCTAGGCTAAATGAGACATAAACTGAGGGGAAGGAGCTTTGCTAACACAATTCTTGCAAAAAAAGAGAACAGGATGGTTTATTTTTCTCAGTCCCAAAGGAAGATTGTTGACCAGATGACAGCTAAGAAAAAGGAAGTTTCTATACTTTTATGTAATGGTGTGAAATATAAGTTTTGACAGGCCAGTCTTTTTTGACTGGGAAGGGTATCTATCTATCTATCTATCTATCTATCTATCTATCTATCTATCTATCTATCTATTCCCTTAACCACTAACACTAGCCTTTGGAAGTATTTCATGTGAGAAGAAGCAGTGGAGAACAGCAGACAACTGAACAGAAACCTCTAATGAATATGAAGATTTAGATAATATTGTGAACATTGTCACTTCAGACGTATTTTTCATATGAGAAAGACTCTTGCCTTCCACAAGTAAAGTAGATTCCTGTTTGCCAGAGTTCAGCAGCTGTTCACAAACTGGAATTGTTTAAAGCAGGAAATGAAAAATGGGTCGGTTCCAGTTCCTGGAGAACCTGCAAGCTTTACTCTATCTGGAAGACTTGGCTACTCTGGAAAAGCCCCAGACAATAACAAAGGCCTTCAAGTAAAGTTACTGTGTTGAACTTCTAGACCAAATGAGAAATTTATTAACATCTGTAGTCCTCTCATGATTTCACCCCAGTGTGATCTTGTCTTCATGCAAAGACACTGAAATGGAGAACTGGATAACTCTGGCTCTCAACAGTTAGATGATTTCTCCACAACAAGGATAGGTAACACAACTTTGCTGATCAACATCATATTCATGAGATTAGTTAAGAATATCCTCTCTTCCCCTCTGTTTTTCCTGTACATTCTGCTCATAACAGAGGAGTCTACCTATGCAACAGAGCCCATATTTAGGCTATGGAATACCAGCCTCAAGGTATTATCAAATGCTATTAACTCCACTTTTAGGACTTGTCATAGTAAATAATTTCCTTGATTTTTTTAACTTTGAAACATATTCTTCAAGTATATGACAGAGCACTCATTGTGGGGTGAGACACGTAGGTACTACCTGTCACACCTACTCTTGTTTGCAGCAATGAATTAGAGAGGTTATTTTCTGCTGAAGCAAGGCAAGAACCAATTTTCTCATCTTGTTTTAAAGAAACACCTCCTGTTTGTTGTAATACAGGTGGCCTCTTAGGTCAAATGTACAAAATCTCGGCCTTTTACCCAGATTGTTACAGCTCTGTCATTGCACTGTTTTTTCTTAAATGATACTGGATGATGTCCTGCTCTCAGTTACTCACTGATGGGCTTGGTGTTTAGAAGTGTAAACAAAGTGGAGCTGGGTGTGAAACCTAAGTGCTAGCTTTGACAAATGCCACTTTTGTGTGTAGAGGAAACTGTGCTCAGAAACAACTTTTTACGAGCCCGAACAAAGATTACATTTCACCAAGTTTCTCTCTGAGTGACTCCTGCTCGGCTTGTTATTGTTTATCTGAACAGCCTCCAGATTTAGGAGGCGAACACACCCTGTAATTTAGCACCCGTCTCCCTCAGGGTATGATTAGGCTGGGAGCTGATGAAAAAGTTTCTGACTTCAGCTCCCATTATCATGAGGAATTTCCGGCTGCAGAGATTTTGATTAGCAGACACTTGACACCACAGTGTAGGAACCAGGTATGAGCTCAGGCAGAGCGAACTCCTTGGTACTGTGAACAGCCCCACTAAACTCTTTCTCACCATTCATGGTATCCATTTTGACTAGGTCATTTGTATGACTTCTAAAGCTTCATGAAAGGACTTCTACCTCCATTGCCAACATTCACGAGCAAATTCCACATTTGGATCCTTTCTGGTGAAGCAAAATAAACCACCTTTCTCCAGCCCTGAGCATGCATCACTCCAGTGTATGTGATAGAATCCCAAAACAGGGAGAAACCACAGTGTTATCCACGTACTACATGTTTTTTGGAGAGGCTTCAGGCATGCATCTCTTCAGTGCTCTTCAAAGCACAGCAGTTTCCCAAAGTATAATATTTGTGGTGAATGGGCTCAATTCTGCTGAACACAGATGCCTAGTGTGATTTGAATTGCCCTTAGATATCTGACCAATCCAATGGAAACTGTCACACATGAAATACATATATGCTTTCCCAGACACCCAAGCTATTGTGAAGGGGAAACCAGAAGTCAGCTGGAGTACTCTCAGATATCTCAGATGGTGTTGGACAAAAGGCAACAAACATTAATTTAGTACATGGAAAATTATGATTAGATACAAGGAGAAAAATATTTACTATAAGGATGGTCATACACTAGAACAGGTTGCCCAGAGGTGGGATCTCCACCCTTGGAGGTGTTCAAGAGTTGACTGGAAACAGCCTTGAGCAATCTGATGTAATCAGTATTGCCTTGAACAAGGGGTTGAACTGAAAACTGCTGGAAGTCTCTTCCAACCTAAATTATGCTATGATATTCTACAAACATCTCCATTTGCTGTAGAAATCAGCATAACATCTAGCAAACAGGCAGAACATCAGCCTTTCTTCATGAGTCCTTGTACCTATATTTGAATTCTTGTGCTAAAAAAAGGATTAAGGCTTCAAAGCAGGAGTGCCTCACCACTGCTGAAGCTCCTACATCTCAGGGGTTGAAATTCTAGACTTGAGCTCACAAATACAAATGACCCACTAAAACATATAAAAAGAAGTCAATAAAGTAAATGTATTCTGCTATTTCACTTCCCAGCTGAGGAGAGCCCTTAGCAGTAACATAGCCAAATCAAAGGCACAGTGTATGACAGATTATCTGCAATCTGTATTGCACACCATGTACATACTTTTTTTTGAATGTACCAAGAGTAAAGTCAACACCTATTTGTGGGCTCTGACACATGAATAAGCTGTCACAAGGCAATAATTTCCAACCTATCAGTTGCTCTGTTCTTGCTGTGCACACCATTGCTGCACACAAGTTCACCAAATGCCAGTTAGTAGTTGATGTGCACTAACTTGTAAACCTGTCAATGCCTTTTGTCTCTCCCATCTACATCTGCTGTCCTGCAGGCTTGAAAGGCAACTCATTTCAAGGTGAGGGTAACCCAGGTAAAAAAGTTAACCCGTGAATCAGGAGATACAAAGAGATGCTCAAGATTCTGGTCGCGCTCTTTGTGATATCATACAATTGGGATTTACTTTTTATGTTAGGCTGGATTACTCTTTCCCCCTCTCTCTTTCTAAAAATTTCACAAGGCTTTTGCTGGTTATTTTTTTCCATGGAAACTGGGACTATCCTTGGGTCTATTTACCACACTTTTGCACAGCTGATGTGATGACCTTTATTGCTGCCCTGTGTCAGCTGCACAAGTACAGTGATATTCAGTTCCATATGAGGTAAAAAGCCACCTTTGTTTTATAGTGTGTACTCTTTGTATGGTTCTCCAATTTTCCCATCTTTTCTGAAGGGCTAATTTGGTCCATTTGCCATGCCAGATGTGCAGAAGTATTTTAAATATTCAATCAGAATCGCAGTTGCTGTGAAGCAGATAATCACAGACTTGGCTTGGCTATTTTTTTTTTAACTGTACTGTTCTTGTGAATATGATAAAACAGAGGCTTGCAAAATGCAGTCTCCACTTCACAGTCTGGGTCCTGGCCCAGACTTGTGGTTTACAAGGCCTTTTGCTGAGTGACAACAAAACAAATTATGCAGTCTCCCTTATGCCTTAAATTTAATATCTCATCTCCTGCTCTCTAATTCAAACCTTCACACTGCACTATGGTTTCCTTTGTAATGAGATAACTTTGAATATTAAGTTTGCATTACATAGAGCTATTATTCACATGCCTGACATCATTACATATGGAACAGTAATCAATAAAACATGGTTTGAGAGGGATTGGATGGCTTGTGGGCATGGGGATCAGTCACCCAAGCCTCTAAGTTTCTGCAAAATACCCATCCAATGGATATTTTGGACTGGAGACCCTTGATGAAAGCCTCAGGCAGTGAGGGCAAAGTTTGGACAGTCAGGGATGTTCACTGTCTGAAGCGGTCCCATCGTATCACTGCTGAGCTACTCAGCTGGGGTGGAGGGACTGGACAGGTGCACAGCCTCTGCCTGCTCTCTGCTATATGGACTTGATTTGAAGACAAACAAATGTCCCTCTTCAGCCCTGGCACCCCAGATCCAAATCCATTTAATTTGAATTCAAATCCACTCTGGCTGAGTCAGCCTGGCAGATTTTGCTGTCTGTTCTCTACCAGCTGTCAAAAACCAATCTGCCCTGCAGAATCAAGCCCAGATGACTGTTCACTGTGAGAGGTTTATAGGCTCTGTGAAGCCTGACATATCACATGTGCTCATGTCCTACCTCCATCGTTGTCTTTCCCATCGCCACATGCTGTCTCCATGGAAGTGTCACAGCCTGCTCCTCTCCAGCCCAGCTGGCAGACGCAGTGCCAGCCGTTCATGTCCAGAGTGCATCTGCCATTGCCATTGCACAAGCCAGGGCATCCCTCTGCAAAGCAAACAGCAACACATTCAAACACACTCAAAACACAAAGCATCACAGCCTGGAAAGGGCCTCATTAAACAGCTTTTTTCCTTTGCCTCCACTCCCACTTGGTGTTTTCCCACCTGGAATGAACCCACTTTGGTGTCAGGATGGTGGTGACCACTCAATGGGCAGCTGTTTCTAGCTCTCCCAGGAGGTCCTCACAGCATAACCTTACTCACTGCACTGAGGGAATGGTGAGTTTCAGGGGGCACTGAAATATTCCTGCTTCATTGGTTGCAAAAGCAAGGCAGCATATTGCCCTCCAAGCCTCTCAAAACATTTGCTATGTAAGACTAGTACTTGGGGTTACCTAAGTTGCATTCAGAGTTAAAGTTCCCAACACTCAGCAGGATAAAGCAGCTGGCTTTCAGTAATACTGAGGTCTCACACTGGTAAGCATTCAAAACCATACGGAAAGGCAAAGGCAGAAAATATTTGGAAGACATACAGTTTCTTTACTGTCATAATTTTGGGAGGGATTAATCTCATCCGGTTCAAATTAATCTATAGCTGAGATAGCTTCAACTCTCTGTAGTCAGCAGAGAAAGACACTGTCCCAGGGCAGAAGTCTCCTCACGAGGGTTTCATGCTCACAGTGATGAGCTGAAGCATGCTTTGGAAATACCCATTTCTCCCCAGTGACTAGAGAGAGCCCAGCACAGAGGCAAGCATTTTTTCGGTGACAAAATTTAGTTAGGGAGGATGAACACCAACCTCCCAGTCTGCTCACTAGGGTTTCATTTTCTCATCTGATGACCTCCTGCTGAGATTTTTGCACTTCCTTCCCACCCCACTCCATCCCTTCAAGAAAATAGCAGAGTAATTTCCCCAGTAAGCAGTGGAGTGAGGGAGGCTGCTTATCTTAAACCCTTCTGGGGGCTTTTTTACCTGCGGAGCCCAAAAACCTTTACCACCAAGCTGTCAGAAGTGTAAGAGACACTTAACAGCTTAGGAAACTGAAGTACAAGGGACTGGAGTGCCTGTGAAGGTCACTCAGCAGGACTGATTACACCAGTGAAACAATTCAGTCTTCCTAAGCCCTGTTTTAATGATTTCTCTATTTATATGTGCATAGTGCTATCCTGCCATATAGTCTGAGTTGTTTAAGGCCCTCAGCTTTGCAAGACAGGATTGGGAACCTATGTGAACAACACATCTATCCTGTGCTAATAAACAGTGAGGAGATGTGTGTTGTCTCAACACCTTTTTGATCATATGATGTGAAAGGGTCTTCCCAGGGCAGAGCTGGGACCCCATCTAGAACATCTCATGTCATAGCGTGTCCTGCACTGGGGAAATGGGGCTTAGAAATGCCTTACAAAAAAAAAGAAAAGTTTTACACGAAACTTTTAAAGTTCACAGACCCTTTCCCAGTGAACAGAAAAAAAAAACAAACATATTTTAGGACTGTTTTTTTAACAAGTGACTGATTTACAGGGGCCAAATGGAAAAAGGAACAAAGGTGGTAAGGAAAAGTCCTTTAAAAAGATCTTTAATATATTTTTAATTTACAAACAAATTTGTTGCATTTCAGTCTTTTAAAATGTGTATTCTGGGATACAGCAAATAATGTGTGTGTGTACGTGTGAGCACACTGTTGTGTATTTTGGTATTTATATACTATATTAGTATTTATATATTACAGAAGAGCTATTTATAGGCAAGGCTACTTGAAATTCTTCATTTTAATATCCTGCCTTCAGTAACTTACAACAGTGCCAAGCATTTAACCATTTAATCAGATTTTTCCATGCTACAGTTAATTTATATGTTTGATCCCTTTACTTACTTTCAGTACAAGCTGAAAGCATTCAGCTATTTTGAGAATGAAAGAGGAAGAAGTGTATTAAATAACCTCCTAAGATTACTTGGTTAGGTAGGTAACCCCATTTTGGAGTAGATAAATCCAGTTTGGATGCACCATCCTGACAGTAGAGATAGGAGTTTTTTCCCCCCTCTAAAAATCACAGAATCGTAGAATACTTTGGGTTGGAGTGGGTTGGAGATAATCCAGTTCCAATCTCTCCGCCATGGCCAGGGACACCTTCCACTAGACCAGGTTGCTCAAAGCCCCATCCAGTCTGGCCCTGACCACTTCAAGTGATGGGATATCCACAGCTTCCCTGGACAGCCAGGGGCAACTGTGCCATTGCTTTGATTTTCTAGATGACAAGTCTCTGAAGAAATCTTGATTTATGTGTATACTGGATGGCTCCATTAGAGCTTGGCTGGTGGGTCACCCTGAGCACACCTCTTGTTTTTACTCCTCAGATTCTTTAAAACCTTTGCTAAGAATTTCTCTTCTATCCTACAGCTGCAGAGACTGGGCAGAACAAAGGTGCTGTAGTGTTGACCTGGACAGGAGTGAAATGAGAACCAGAAAGTCTTAAATGAAATTGAAGACACCATGATCTTGTCTCATGTTTAGAAGTACCCAGGAAATATAAGGGAAAACTAATGTAGCTATAAAAATGAGGAACTTATACAGAACTGCATGTGCTCTACTCTCCCAAGCTTAGGAAAAAGGGAATTTGGAGTGGCAGAAAACAGATGATATAGCTTGGATAAGGCACCTTTGGCATCTGAGGAAATGGGATGAGCTTGATTTGTCTCTCCTTGGACAACAGTGGCTGAAAAGACTTTGATTTTTTTTCCCACAAGTTCATGAAACACATAAACATTGAGAAGGGAAAACTTCTTAAAAGCTATTTAAGGTAAAGAGAATAATGCTGGCACAAGAACAAATGGACATAAACCAAGTATGAATAAATTCTGGCTGGAAATTAGGGGAAAAATCATTTGGAAGGATCAAAGGAATGAAGTTCTGGAGCAGACTCCCTGTGGGAGTGTTAAAGAGAAGATTCTTCAGTTACTTATCCATAGAACCTGGTAAATTTATATAAAGTTTTACACAATGTGGTTGCCCTTGCCAGCAGAAGACTAGACTCTAACTGAGGAGACCCCTTTCAGTCTTATGTGTTTGAATTTTGTGTGCAATTCATTGTCTATATGAAATATGCTTGAGAGTATTTGCATGGACTTTCAGAATTTATTCTGAAATCTTGATCTGGACCCAGAGAAAGTAAACCAAGCATTTCAGAAAGAGGACAAGCACAGGAAAAGCAGAGGTCAGGAGAGGAGAGAGAGATGAGAGAGAGTACCTCATAAGATTATGCCTTCCCAAAATATCTATTCCTCTTCTTGAGTACTACGGGGATCCAGGGTGCCCAGATGAGAGAATAAGTACCTGTAGATACCAAAAGTAGGGTAACTCCTACCTGCAATTTTATACTCCACCGTCTTGGCACCCTTTAAGTCTAGAAAGTCTTACTAAGGAGAATGAAATCTCAGGTTTCTAGTAGATAAAGCTCTTCCAAGGAGCCAGAAATAACTGCTCCTGACGACCGAAATGGTTCTTCAAAGTTATAGGAACACAGAAGTCTTCAGATGTTTACCATTACATTACAAGGTTCATTAACATTTCAATGCTGTGAGGATTAAACTGAACCCCTCTAGTATCATGGTTTGGTAGAAAATCAGATATTTTAAAGATGCATGGAGAAAGTAAACCATTAATAGGAAAAACCAAATTAAACAGCAGCTGACAGAAGACTTGGACCTTCAGGAAATTAGGGGTCAATAGATGAGTAAACCAATATATCCAGGAGAATGGACCTATAAGTACTACCATTTCTGAACTGGTTCACTGCACAGAGACTTGACCATTGCTTACACTACACAGGATGGTACAATATTCCTCATTCCACAAACTGCACTTCAAAGCACTTGATGAAAAGATGATGAAAAACAAACTTTATCCTCTCCTTTCCCCCATGCTGGGGAATAAAGCAAAGAGATCATCTTGTTTCTGAATTGCTTCTGAATGTCACCACAGTGGGATGGCTTAATCCTCAGAGTTTTACACCACCATAATCTTTCAGCTCTGATTTCTCATAGCTAGAAGTCACCAATGATGCATTATTCCTGTTTGTGGTGTTAACTGTACTTGGGTGACTAGGAGAATTAAATACATGAACAGAGTTTTTCATAAAAGGGGAGGAAACCCTTTATGTGAGTTTCAAACTTAAGCACATGTAAGTGCTGCTGAAAGATCCTGGAGGGCATTCACAAAGATGTCAGGTTTGCCATGCAAGCGAGAGAACAGACCAGGGAAGCAATATAAAAAGTGGGTTAATTTTGAAACAGAGAAGCAAAGACCATCAGAGTTAAAGGAGACTGTCACCAGAAGTTAACCTGCAATTTTTAAGACTGTTGGTAAAATAATCTGCTCTTAATGATCTGTACAGTTAAAGACTTCTCTAATTAGTCCAATTATAAGCAACATTTTCTGGTCTTTTTCTTCAAGGCAAACCTCACTGCCACTTGAAATAAGACTTAGAAAGAAAGGCTACTTATTATCTTGCCTTCATTGTCAGTAGGAAAGCACCAACGGATGTTTTTACCAAGTCCCACAGCCAGCAGTGGAACTCTGGGACAAGTAGGACATGGCTGAAGGCAACACGTGAAGATGCAAATGCCTGAAGCTTGAGAGAACAACAACCACTATGAGACCTGCAGAAGCTGCTCTAAGACTAAAGGCGAGGAGCAAAGCATCAGCTGATCCCTGCAAACGACGAAAGCTTGGTAAAGTGTCCCAAAACCAACTCAACTATGAAACTACTATAATGATATTCTGTGGTGATGGGAATCCAGAAATCCTTAATCAGATGCGTTCTCCAATAGGAAGGTTAAGAAGTTACTGACCAGAGCTCCTACACTTGTAACTGTACAAATGAGGGAACTGGCTTTGGTCAGACCTTGGCTTCTCACTTGCTCTCATGCTTCAGGAGCAGCACTTCGCAGCCACCCCTGAATTCTAATGTTGTTCAGCAACTTTAAAATTCAAGCTAGCTGTTTATGTATGCACCACTACAGTGTTAATGGGGTTAATGATTATTTTT